CTAATTGAAGGAATTGAAAAATGAATTTTAATTCATTTTTATTATTGTTATTACTTAACTTTGATAAGGTTATATTAGTATGCTGATGTATACATATATTATATATTTATATATAATTTAAGATGTTAAGCGTTAAAAGTTATACTGACTTATATGCTAAAACGTTAGCACAAAGAGATGATTATCTGGTAATCTATTTTATATATTTATATTATAACATATGTTATATATATATATATAATATATAAGCTGTATAACATGTATAATTTCAATCATAATGAAAGATAGAAAGCGTTATAAGTTATACTAACGTATTTGCTGAAACGTTGACACAAAGAGATGATTCTCAGGGTTTTATACCCTATCTTTTCAATTCATTCGCCTGTGTCTGAAACATATTTGATGTCTCATTTTCTGTAACATCAATGGGTTCGTGTTCCAATATATATATATTGGAACACGATCCCATCGATATATATACATATATATGCACATTCCAGTCACATTAATGTGACCACCACCTACTTTCGACGTCAACGTGAAATAACCAATCACAAAAGGCAGGTGGCAGCACATTGCAGTGGAGTGTATTTAAAGTATGTCCTAGGGCATCGGAAAGCATTTCAATCGTTGGCGTAATGCAGAAACGCAGCGTAGGTCCGCTCTGCCAAAGGTGGTTATTCTGACTTTTGACAGGGGGTCACATTAATGTGATTAGACTGTGTATTTATAGATATATGTGTGCGTGTCGAAACAGCCAACCGATTGCTATGATCGCTAGATACGACTGAACATATTGATTAAAAAGATTTCGTGAATGATTCATTAAAGACAATCATCTTATTTTCTTATTTAAGTTGATTTTATTACATTTATATGAAATTTCTTCAGTTTAACATGTATATAAACTAACACATTTATTATTGACTTAAATCTACAAATAATTTCATATTCTTAAAACGTTCTTTAAATTCAAAAACTTTCTGAACTGTATATGAAATTATTTTGTTTCCGATAGTCTGAAAAAAATATAACACAGTAAAATTTCATTATGTTTTTTATTCAATAAATGTCTTCACGCATACAGAGAAAATTCTTACAATATGTCTTCTTGGAACAGCCATGAATAATGGAAATATACAAATTAAATTATTTCCTACCGGAGGTGTTTCTTTTCAGATAAATTTTTGTTTTCTCAACCATTTTAACATAGGTGAATGATTTTAATTGCATTTATTTCTTTAAAACATTTCCCTATTCGACACGTGCAATATACTTTCTATGATAATATAGATGGGATCAAATTAATCATGTGTTACTTTACGTATTCAATGAGAATCTCTTACAATTTTGGGATCCTACTTTGAAAACATTATAGTGCAGTTGTAAGTATTTTATAAAACTAGTAATATAAAAAAAAAATTAAAGTCAATTCCTTCTTTTATTTCACTATATTACAGTAAGTCCTTTATAAATAATTTTCATTCCTTTTTTTTTATTTTTATCTGGAGACATCTATTGGTAGATATATGCAACTTACATCTAAAAAAAACTAAAATTAATTAATTAAATTGAATTACTGAATTAATATTTGAAAAACCTATATTAACATCAAGTGTCATCCACTACAAGTTTAAAAAAAAATGTATTCGAATTTGAGTTTATGAGTAAGAAGTGTTTTATGAACGATTGAAAATTTGAACAAGATATATATAGGCAGAGTGTGAGCTAATAGAATGAATTGGAATATAATAATTAAATAAAATGCGGGTAATTTAATTGGTTTTTTAACTTTACTGGGAAAGGGGATCATTGTTTTTTTGCTTGTCAACTTTCAGAGCACTTTTCGAAAACTAATTTACCTCAATTACAATCTAAAGTGACCTCAAAATATCAATTGCATGTGTCAACGTATTGAAATTAAAAAAAAAAAAATAATAATAATAATAATAATTTTCATAAATACGAAGAAAAGTGGAGGACAAGCGTATTTCCTGTTCATTTAAGGAGCATGACGGCCAATTGGCTGCCCCCTGGCCGTTCATATCTCAGGCATCAGGTTCGAATCCTGACGGAGGCATAGATGTTTGTGCAATGTTAGTTATGCAAAAAAAAATTACCGCAGAACGACAAACCAAAAACTATGGGAATATATGCTATACGTAATTTTCAGTATTAGAAAAAAATATTATTTTTAAAATAAATTAAAATTTAAGCAATTATATTTTATATAACTTAAATGTAGAATTATAGTATCGAATTTTATAATTATAATATTTTAGTTGTTAAATTTTTTCCATCATTTTATTGTAACGATTTCAAATAATTCTAAAAGATGTTAAACAAAATATCATAAAATTAGACTAATAATATTTAATTTTGCTGTATATATATATATATATATAATGGCCAATTGGCTTTCGCACCGGGCTTTCGGCTACAGGCTTCAGGTTCAAATCTTGGGGGTAGCATGGATGTTTGGTAGTAATTCGGAATCCACGTTAAACTGTAGGTCGTGGTCTTATTATCCTAAAGTGCGCATAAAATAACCTTCGTGAGACAAGCGAAACATTTTGTAGTATTTCATCTTCACTGCAAATAGGCCGTTCATGTCAATTTCTTATTATAATAAAATTGCGGAAAAAACAAAGAAGAAAAAGTCATTTTTCAGTCAGAGGATGTTGTTCTCTATGTACTTTTTCATGTTTTAATTTCCTAACCTAATGAGTTGGCATGTCTTTTGGTCACGGTTTATACAAAAATATTGTTATTAAAGTACAAGTGACCTAGCCGGAACTGACTTATAAAATTGCAATTGCTAATAAGACACTTCTGATATTTTGAAAAGTATTTAGGAAATGATATCTTATATGCGTTATTAAAAAAAAAAAAAATTCTGAGAGGCAATGTTTCCAAAACTATGAACTACACAAAGACCCACTGTCGCAAGTATACTTTTGTTCAACAAATAATACACAATTTACATTAACCATAGAAGGTGAGAGTTGTTATTACGAACAATTCCATAGCGAAATATTTCAGTGTCGTGTGTATTAGATTCTGCTGAAATTCTTTTCTATTTCGCAAGACGGTTATTTTCACTGTATTGGTATTATTACACATAACATGGGGAAAAATCCCTCAGCCGCGTTCTCGACTTTCGACTTATATGAATGCTTTACAAGTTTTTGTGCGGAGAAATATGTTGTTGTTGTTTCTTATCCCACTTGGTAGACATCTAGGCCAAACCCACGAGCCCATATGTACTGATGGTTGAAGGGAAGGAAGCAGCTTCTGTTGTGATGGAGCACCCGTAGGTAGAAGTCTGACTTTGGCTCCGTGACGCTCTTACAGTCCTATGAGACAGGGGCCTACCGCTTAAAGTGGATTCCGAACCACTACAAACATCCATGCCACCATCAGGACTCGAACCCGAAACCTGTGGCAGCGAGCGCCAGAGCGCTAAAAACTTGGCCATTCAGGCCCGCGGAGAAATATTTTATATATAAGAGGGGAATAAATTACATAATTACATATAAATATTGTGCATAATAATATTATGATTTTTACAAAATTATTATTATATTCTATTATAAAGATTATAATTATAATATAAGAGCGGAATGTAAATCGGAAATAGAAAACTAAAATTAAAAGGTTTGTTTGGGGATAATAATATTTGGAAATGGAATGTGAAATAAATAACTATATATTGTTCTAAGATTAAAAAAACAATTTATTAACGGGTAATTGTAATGCTCAGAAAATTTCTCATATTTTTTTTATTTTATATTAATTTATTGATAGTTTTTATGATTATTTAAAGGTTAAACTGTGATATTTTTTTTTTTAATTTGTTGTAAAAGAGTATTTTTTATAAGAGAGTAAAAAAAATCGATGTAAAGTTATATAAATTAATATTATATTATAATATAAAAATAGAATTATAATATAAGAGCTGAATTTAAATCGAAAAAGAAAGCTAAGTCTGAAAGATTTATTTAGGGATATTAATATTTATAAGTGGTATGAAAAATAAATGATCCAGAATGTTCTGAGTTTAAGAAAAAAATAATTAAAGTGATATTTGTAGTGTTCCAAACAATTTTTTTATTTTAATTTATTGATAGTTTTTATAATTATCTGAAGTTTAAACTGTGAATTTTTTAGTAGGTTGTAGAAGAGGCTATTGTTTATTAATTTGTCAATCATTCATTGTTATAAACTAACATATAGATTTATTTTCTATTAAGATAATGGATTTATATAGATTTATTTTATTTATTCTAGATCTAAATTTGATAGTTTTCTAAAAAAATATAATGAAATCAATAAAATAAATGAAAAAAGTAATTTTATCACCTACATCTCCGTTTTTGAATGAGGTCTACAGTCATTTTTTGAAAATAGCTAGACATCCTCTTGAATTGCCAATACATTAAATTTTCAACATACTTGAATCATTGCAAACAGCGATTATTTAACTATTTAAGACCGGTTGAGTAATTAAGTGAAATTGGAGGATCTCTCAAAGTTTGTATAGGAGCGATAGCACCAATTGGGGGTTTTTGGCAGATGCATCTAAACAGAACAATGTCGGGGCCTATTTAAAATTCTAAAGATAATTGTAGACTCACCATATACGAATGTCTGAGATACTGAATATTAAAAAATGAGATAAAAAATGAAGTTAAACGCACCCCTGGTTTATTTATGTTGTTGTTGTTTCTTATCCCACTTGGCTGGCCAAGCCCACGAGCCCATATGGACTCATGATTGAAGGGGAATGAAGCAGCTTCTGTTGTGATGGAGCACCCGTAGGTAGAAGCCTGACTTTTGCTCCGTGACGCTCTTACAGTCATAGAAGACAGGGACCTACGGCTTAAAGTGGATTCCGAACCACTACAAACATCCATGGCACCGCCGGGATTCGAACCCGAAACCTGTGGCACCGAGCGCCAGAGCGCTAGACACTCGGCCATTCAGGTCCCAAATTTGCCAACGGCACGCAGTGTTCCCAGGTGGTCACCCACCCAAGTACTGACCGCGCCCAATGATGATAACTTCGGTGATCTAACGAGAACCGGTATATTCAGCATGGTACGGCCGTTGACAGGTTTATTTATTTGGGGTTTATAATAAACATAAGCCTGATAGGCCCATAGACCCTGATTAAAATTTGCATCGTACTTATTGGCGCCAATGAATAAAGGCTCGTTCCCACCAAGACGAGAGACGTGAAGATTCAAGAGGCAAGCGACAAAATTTTTTCGCCCCCTTCACAGTGAAACGTCAGAAATAGCATTACGCCTAGTGAAAAACCGCTTCGAGTTGAAAGTTGGGCAACTCCAAGCGGCGAACTGCAAACCGGTTTCAGGTGACCGCGGTGAGGCTAGTGATTGGTCAAATTTTTTCGCTTGCATCTTGTCGCCTTAGCACGAGCTTGTGAGCACGAGCCTTAAGTAATTGAATCTGTATAGTATTAAAACCAAACACCAAGTATAAAAAATCAGAAATTCAAATTATAGTACAAATTTTCCATTCTAATTAGATTTTTTCGATTCATTTTGTCTTAATGCTTCGCTCATAGTTTCGTGCAGTATGGAAGATTATTTAAGCCAGGTTGAAAAATTCAATCAAATTCATCATCGACATTTGTACAGAAGTACATTTGTACATTTGTATTAGCACAGATTGAAGGATGGTGGAAGATACATTTAAACAGAACCATCATAAAGTAGATATTGATCTCGAACAGTGGTTCTCAAACTGAAGTCGGAGCAAATTTAAAATTCTATAAATAACTATAGGCGTACGATATTAATATTTCTGCGAAATATATAGCGAAATAGTTAAATCAAATATTAGAAGTATGAGATAAAAAATAAAATTAGACGCACCTAAAATATATTTATTCTTGTGTTTATGAGAAACACAAGACTTATGTGCATGTAGACCATGATTAATAATCGCATCAGTTAGAAAGATGTAACACCCATTCATGAAATTTTCAGAAGACTAGAATCACTTAATGCTAGAGAACGAAATGCGTCATACAGAAAAATTCACTCACTGAGAACTATTATATAAATCCTAAAAGTCACGCATAAAAGTTTTGCCATAACACTGCAAAAATTTGGCGTTAAAGCGATAATGTTTGACGAAAAAGCATTTTAGGAACAAAATTTCCCTTAGTTATAAAATTTGGAGAAACCAATAGCATTTGACGAAACAGAATTTTAGGAATAAAATTTCTCCTAGTGACAAAATTTGGCGATAAAGTAATAAATTTTGGCTTAAAAGCAATTTAAAAATAAAATTTAGTTAAGTGAATAAATTAGGCGATAAAGCAATGCATTTTTACGTAAAATAATTTCAGAAATACAATTTTGGGAGGATATTGGTAATATTTGGCGTTAAAGAGATAAAATGTGCTTAAATATAATTTAAGGAGCAGATGTTGACGTAGTAGTTGTTTGGCAACTAATATTGGCGTAATAGCGATTTTCGGCGAAGAATTTTGATGAAATAGCATTTTACAACAACATCAAAATTTGACAGCCATTTTGTTTATTTACTTGGCGCCTCGCCGCTCTAGTGATGAAATTTGGTGCGATATCATTTTAACTCGGAAACTAATTACGGTATTTATTATTATTTGTACTTGGCGGCTTGGCATTCTGACGATGTATTTGACACAAACGGTACATATTCTAGATTTTTACCGCTGTCTTATTAAAAATATTTATTTAATCCTAAAATTCTGCATTCCAATATTCTTTGCAGAATACAGAATATCACGAGAAATTTTCAAAATTTGATGTTGCCTAAAATTATTTTTTAAATATATCCACAAACATTGTAATTGACAAAAAGATGGAGAAGCAAATTTTTGGAATTATGTATTTATTACATATTCTCACAATATATATATACAAGTGTACGTTATAACAACGTACGTGTTCCTGATATTTACAATGAATATATACAATAATGAAGATGTTGAAATTAATATATACAAATGAAAAATTTAATGCGAAATCTGTACAATGAATGTATACAATGAAATAAATGTTTACATTTTTTTTTGGTTAAACAAGTAACGAATATTATTAAAAATTTAAAAGAAGAAAACATAAAATATTTTAACATTTAAAACACATAACATAAAAACATGTAACATAAAACACATAACATGAAAACGTTTATAACATAGAACATAGAAAACATATAAACATAAAACATATAAACATATAAAAACATAAAAACAAATAAAAACATATACGCAATTCCACATTTAGGTTCTTCTTCTCTGTGGAAGTATTGCTCGATTTCCCTCTCTTTCTTCAGTTATTAGCAAAGTTGGTATGTCATCTATTTCTCTGGCTGTTCGGAGAGTTCAGTTACATGATTTGTTAGATTTATTGTCAAATGAATGGTTTCAAAATGTTCTGTAATATGTAAGCTCTTTTTCTGGTAATATGTTCTAAATATATTTTCCGAGGAAAAGGTTTTCCAAATGGCAGTTGATATATCGGTGACATAATATTGATATTATATTTAATGGCTGAACGTCTTTCATAGTGTTCATGTTGATATTTTTCTGCAGTTGGAAAGATATTAATTCATCTGTTGTTGCATTGTTTGGTTCTATTGCTGTTGTTGTAATCATTTCAATTGTTGCAGAGTGGCTGGAATTATTGTTCGTTTTGGAAATATTTCTTGCTTAATTGATGACTTGAAAATATTGGTTTCTTCTTTTTGTTCTAACTTATCTGATATGGTGGTTTTTCTTGTATGGTAATATGTATACTATTATGTATACTATTTTTATATAGGAAATAGAGAGCTATGCATCTGTTTATAAGTAGAATAATAGCGACATATACTTGATGATTGACTACAAGATTTTGTCTTTGCACCTAAAATGTCCTTCTGATGAGATAATAATTAGTTTGTTTTAGGAATTTTCATTTACAATGTCAAACGTGGAATCAATTAGAGAATTCTGAATAATTGCAAGGATTTTTTTGAAGACTAGAAAAGCTATTGGTTATTTCTACTCTTAGCTTATAGTTCTTTGTTAGTTATTTCTCCAGTATCTGTATTCAATTCTTTCAGAAGGTTGATATTGAAATATTGTTGAAGATTAAAGAATACTGGATGATTGCTTGGAATATTTTGAAGAGTAGAAAAGCTATTAGTTATTTCTCCATTATCTATGATGAATTCGTTCAGAAGGTTGATATTGGAATATTGTTGAAGATTAAAGAATTCTGAAGGATTTCTGAGGATTTTTTGAATAGTAAAAAGCTATTAGTTAAGCTGTTGTTTCACCAGTATCTATTATGAATTATTTTTAAGGAAGTTTTCAAGTTATTATTATTATTATTATTATTATTATTATTATTATAGGGGAGGTATATGTCAAGCCTGGATATCACCATCTCTGCTGATGGGTATGTTTATACAAAGAGGAATGATGAAATATTTACATGGTGATAGGTTTTAAAATATTATGTTTGTGTAGATATTGTTCAATGGTTGGGTATGTGATTAATTCATCGACGGTTGGCTGTCTGAGTTCTATTGTAATATCTGGAATTATTGGAGTGGGTGTGTGGTTGATAGGTGTGAGGCAGTTGTGAAGAATGTTCTTTTGTTCTTTTGTGGGATATACTAATAATTGGTCGACAGTAGGTTCTCCGGTATTTATTACAATTACATGAATATTTTTAAGTGATGTCTGTTTATTGATTCTATTGTTATTAAGGGTAGAGTTGGTGATATCCAGTGACATGTTGAAGAAAAAAACTACGGTGCAAATTAAAATAAAACTGTACGAGGGAAGGGCGAAAGAAAGGAGGAAACACAACCAAGCTAATAACATTTTTACTCGATAATCCATTTTTAAATTATTATAGAACGTATAAATATGATCAGAAAAATAACTCACCAATATCAATCAATGTAAAATACGTTCTGAATCATTTTCATTCTTGGATTGCAACAGTGCATAATTGCAAAAATCGATGCTTATGCTAATAGTGAAGTCCATTGTTGTTACGTAAAAGAAATGTTTTATTATCATTGTTCCAAGGCTTTTAAAATTTGAAACAATTATAATATATTTTAAACTGTTGTGTTATAATTAGAGTGATTAGCAACAATGTTTTAAGATTTGCTTCATAGAAATATAAGTAGGGTGTATGCACAATTATTTATTTTATTCGCTTATTTTAAATATTTCCTCAAATTTGTAAATAAAGTGCAGCAATGAAAAATTGCTATATAAAAAAAATTTCATTCATCACTGTTTTTTTTACTATTAGAATTTGAAAAATATATTATTTAGTGAAAAATATTTATAATAGATATTATTTTTTTTTTTTAATCGTTGTAGATATTTTTGAAGTATTTAAGAATAGGAACTGCCCGGATTTTAGTTCTATATAACCCAGTCGTTTAGAAAGCAAAGTTCGGTCGTTGTAGATTTTGGTAAAATCTCTAACAATCTTGCGCATATCGACAGCATTTATCAACACAGTGTAAAAAAAACCAAACATATTTACTTGCCTTCATATTATGTTAAACTATGGATGAGTAATTTCAGCTTATTAGATATTTAAATACTTTTATGCTGTTATATATTTACACTATTAAAATTTTTTTGTAATTTATAAACTACTTATTTGCTGCAAAAAAAGTATGCTTTGTTGTTGATAATTCAAATAATAACGAATTCAAACTACACTATTTCCCCCATCATGTAGACATTTATTGACAGTGATATAAATTTTCATATACATATATATAATTATAGGAAGCCTTTCTTATGATTACTGCAATTAACATCCAGTTTTATAGAAATAATATTAGTGTGAAAATGTCAGGAACAAGACCTCACAGATGATTGCAGTGTACGTGAAGTACTTATTATAAGTCCACACATTGCATTACAATCAAAAAATGTTGAAAGTCACTATTAATTACATTATAATTAGATACCAGTGTCTAGAAGGAACCATCCGTACGACTATGCGTGTAGTAGAATGGTTGCTAAGCTTGTGAAGGAGCATAGTATGCAAGCATAAGGCAAGAGTTTGGCAGG